CCAACATACTTCTACTATATGTGCGTCGCCCCCCCCCCCAGGGGGGACGCGCGCACCGAGAAATCTTATATAGTACATGCGTCGTCCTGGGCGCTTTCTGGCCACACCGCTCGGGAAACGATATGATACAGGGTGGGTGTACTGCATGTTCGGGTCGGACGCGCGCCTCCAAGGAGAACGTACAGTATCAGTGTGTCTCTGTGCGTCCCGCCCTTCCCCCCCATCGCCGGGGTCTTGCTTCGCCGCCGCGCTGGGGAAGCCGTGGCTCTGGCCCGCGGGCCCCGCGCGGCGAGCGAGCGGAGCCGAGGGCCGGTCGGCGCAGGAGTCCAGGGCGACAGGGCCTCCAGGAGCCAGGAGGGGAGCAACAACACGCAGGCACAATCCATCGCCGACGCCCCAGAAAAGGTGGGCAACTGTGGGAAGTGGGGGTTGAAGAGGAAAAACCAGAAAGTATGGGGAAAACACGGGGAATCCTGTTATCGGTGTCTGCTCATTTGTGTGTCCCAGGACGCGATGTCTTGATGTTCTCAAGGCGCGGCGCCCGTAGGCAGTCCTGGCACCCGTTCTCCAGGGCCAGGTTTGCATCCCGAGTCGTTCTCTTGACTCTCCCGGGGCTCGGCGAGGACTCCCGGAGGCCGGACGCGGCGAACAACATGTCGTTGCGTTTTCCCATCACCTCAGCATGTCTGGGAACGAGCGGCCAGCTGGGGCTGGCGGGGGCCTGTCCTTGCCAACCAGAGCCCTGGGCACGCGGTCAGTCGAGCTTCGTCGGGGCCGAACTCGCATGCCGGGCAGCAGGCGGGGCACGCGGCCAGCCACGGTCCAGGCAGCTCCTGGCAGTTGCTCCAACGCTCCAGGAGATGGGACCGACACTGCAGCCACGATGTGAAGTGAGACGGCTCTGGGCTCCAGGGCTCGGGAGGTGCTCGGGGTGTCAGGCCGCTCCTCGGAGCTAGGGCGGGGAGCAGCCTCGTGGCCGAAGCTGGCTGGTAGCACGATGATGTCCCACCGCCACCGTGTTCTGAGCAGGTGCCGCTCTTCGCAGGCGACCTCTCGCCGCCGATCCACGAGTTCCAACCGGAAAGTTCGGCTCCTCAGAAAAGGGGGGGAACTCGGGGACACGCCCCCAGGGGTTATTCATTCGGACGCACGCTGCCCCCGTCGAGGATGGAGCCCCCTCCCCCGTCGTGTGTCCCCGAGCTTGGCCCCAAGCTGCTGGCCCCTTCGGAAGCCCCACCAAGTCGGGGATTGGGACCGCCACGCCCCCGTTCTAGTTCTCGAGCCGCCACGACTGCTGGACCTCTCCTCCGGGTGCCCTGCCCTCCCCCCCCCGCTGGGCCGCAGGTGGCCGTTGACTACCGCCGTCGCTGAGAGACGCCGAAGCGCCCAGCCGCTCCCGGGCGCGCGGTTGCTGCAGTGCGGCTGTGCCTGCCAGGGCTGCTCGCCGAGGCGGCTCGCCCTCTTCCCGGCGCTCGCCCGGCCTCTGGGTCTCGCGGGCCCCGGGTGCCGCGCTCTTGCTTTCCGAGGCCCTTCTGCGGGCCGAGCAAGCCGTCGGCAGCCGTGGCGGTGCCGCAGGGGGGCCCCCGCCGCGGGGCCTCTCTGGAGCCGCTGCCGGCACGATGCCGTGCCGCTGCCTCGTCTGCCTGCTTCCCCGCTGCCTCCGTTCCTCTCTCCGGCAGGGCGCGCGGGGGGCGCCGGCGTGCGCCCTCTCCGTGGCAGAGGTGGCCGTGCTCTGGGCTGGCACAGCGTCGCGGTTGTTCGATGGGCACGAGCCTAGGCAAGTGCTTGAAGCACAACCGCCGCTGCGATCGCCGTGGCGGAGACGAGTGCTCGAAGGGTGTTCGGCGTGGGCGGCCGAGGCCCCCGAGGGGCTGCCGGCGCCCTGCTCTCCTCCCCGTTCTCCTCGCCACGGGTGCTCGGCTGAGGTGGCCAATGCCCTGATCCAGTACACTGTAGGCGATGCTTAAGAAAACCTAAGTTTTCGTCCAGAGTCTCGATTATTCTTAAGCTTTCAATGTAAATCCCACGATTTTGATAGAAATGTTGGGTTTTTATTCAAGTTCTGAGACTATGAATTTCTTAACCCATGATTTCTTAAGCATTTCGCAGGGTGTATCTTCTTTTTGTCCCTCGTGGGGGAGCACCGTCCGAGGTCGGGGCAGAGGGCCCGTCCGCCCGAGTGCGAAGGGGTGAGCGCCCATTCCCATCCTCGTCCCTCTTGCTCCTTCACACCCTCCATCCTCCGTCCTCTCACCCTGCTCCTGACCCCCGATCTTCCTCTCCCCTCCCTACCCCGTCCGCCTGGAGACGGAGGAGGAGGATGAGGAGGGCGGAGGAACAGGAGAGGAGGAGGAGGAGGAGGAGGAGGAGGAGGAGGAGGAGGAGGAGGAGGAGGAGGAGAGGAGGAGGAGGAGGAGGAGGAGAGGAGGAGGAGGAGGAGGAGGAGGAGGAGGAGGAGGAGGAGGAGGAGGAGGAGGAGGAGGAGGAGGAGGAGGAGGGA